GAGATCTTTTCCCAAAGTTTAATTATGGAAAATCCCTATAAATTACAGTTTATTTTGTGTAAGAGCTATAACCAAGATAAAAAGACCAGGGAGGGAGAGGGAAAGGAAGGACTCAAGAGACATTGCAGATAACACTGTTAACATAGCTCATTTAATCCCCTGTTGAAGAAATTATAGCAATTTTTAAAGAAATGCTCACCCATAATGTCACTGTGGCTCCTGAAAGAAAGTACCATGGAATACGTGCATATAGAGGCATGTAAGGTTCCATCTCCTGTGATGTTGAAGAAATCACAAAGAAATTCAAAATCTCCCCTCTAAGTCAAGACTCCAAGCACTAGTCAGTATCACAGAGCCCGGTTAAAGCAGGAACCTCCCAAAAGGGCCTACTATAGGCCATGGAAAGCTGCATTATAGGAATGGTTCCTTCTCTTGAAGGAGAAATCTCTAGGCGTCCTAGATGGGGTATTTTACACATGATATGAGACAAAATGGATACACACAATTTCCTAAATGCTGAATTACGATGTTTAGGGCCTGGCACTCAGTAAATAAAGTCAAATAATGAAGGTTGCTGCTTAGGCAGACATGCTTTATGATGTTTAATGGTGTTATAATTTTATCTAATTGAATCGAATTGCATTGCTCTGCAATTGCTCTGCATGATATTAGATGCTTTCTTTATATTTTTCAGATAAACTGTGTTCTTCCACATAGCTCAGGAGCCAAGACTTCAAGAGTCATTAATGAAAGATATTGATTATACAGCTGACATTCTTAGGCACATCAAGAAGCAAGTAGATTTTACCTAAAAGAAGCAAAAAATAATAAAAGAAAAAAAAAGCTGTCAGCAGAAATCAAAATCATGTAATTCTATAACATAATATTTCACATTTTAGGAATTTTAAGGGTGGTCTGAATAAAAATAGGACTCTCAACAGGCAGGGTAGGCTGTCCAAGAGTCCTACAGACCTCAGAATGTGTGTGGATGTATGTGTATATGTGACTGTGTACATGTATATTCATGTATGCACCCAATGTATGTGTGCTCATGCATGTGTATGCATATTTGTGTGGGTGCACGTGTGTGTTCCCAATGCAGACTTAAATATGACGGTTCTGGTTGCCCTTAAACACTGAAGAAGCACTGCAATAAGTAAAAATAAATACATACATAAATAAATACATAAACAACTCTGTTTCTTGATTTCTAAACCACGAAAGCTAAGTGAAGTCAATGATTCACAGTGAATCAATACATACGGCTTTTCAACCGGATTCAAATGTAAGCATTCAATACATTTTTTTTCTGTTAATTTTTGGCAAAGCTAATGGGACTGCTTTTGTTTTATTTTTTATCTCATGAAATAGGAATAAACATCATGTCATTATTCTGTCAATATCTTTTAATATATTTTCTTAATTTCAAACTGCCACCCAAATTGTTAATGTATTTTCTGAGATGCTTTCATGCTCTTTGGAGATGTTTTTGTGATCTTCCAATGAAACTTAGTAATTGTTTAGTGAAGCTTAAATGGTGAAAATAATTTTAAATGTTACATTGCAAGAATAGTTTTCTGAAGAGAAGAGGGAATTCTACTGAAGAGAGTGTATTTGGGACACATATTATTCTCTTTTAAATAGCAGCAGGAAACACAGTGATTGTAGATTATGGAAAAATAGGGGCTCGAAAAATATGTAACCAAGATTCTGGTCTTTAAAGGAAAGCACTTCCATTTTCACATGAAAAAAGTGAGGTACCAAAAAGTTAAACAACTCAGTTAAGAACATACAGCTGGTTTGTCAGCTAAGCATTCTAATACATAGACTTCTTCCCCCACACACCAATACAATGATTGTCAATATAATTAATTAAAAGGGGCCATGTGAAGAAAAGTTAATCTAATAAAACAATCACTCATAAGACCTCAATCTTAATATAAATACTATTTCAATTTTTATATATCACTTAGGATCATTTCAATGTCTATACATTTATATACAAAACCCACAGCATACACACTATTTTCCTTTTTGAACTTAGTTTAATGTTATTATGCCTTGGATTTGTTTCAAAATAATTTAGTGACACAAAGGAGTATGAGTATGAATGAAACAAGATTGTCCATGAATTAAAAATGATTAATTCTGAGTGATGGGTTCATCCATGTGGTTCATTATACATTTCTATCTACATTTGAAAGTGTTTGAAAATTTTCATATATATACATTCATATATATATATTTATATACATGTATGTATATTAGAGACAAGTAGTTTATGTCATTTATATGTTGCAGAATACTTTAAAGGCAAATTAAACTATGATTATATGAGAAGAAACCTATAGCAGTGTGTCCATTGAGATATGCTGCCCATTTCACAGTATTCTAGTCTACCTTGGTCACTGGATTCAATTTCCTGTGTTTACACATAGCTTCAAATTCCGGTCTCAGCTGAAGCTGCTGCTGTTCCTCTTCAAAGTCCACCAGGTCCCACTCATATTCCAGTCTGGCTTGTCGTTGTTTCCAAAACTCCAAAAATAAGGTGACTACAGGTAAACAAATATATATATAAAAAAAAAGATATAAAAAAAAGTTAAAAACTTTTTCAACTTTTCCCTTTAATTGCTTTGGTTGCAGGATGGTTCACATGTTTCAGGTGGCTATTGTTTCACTGTTGTGTTTGATTAAAACTTCATCAATTATTAATGTTGGCATAATATTGTGTATCCGATAACACACTGAAAAAAAACTCATACAAAAATTTAAATTAATTTCTTGGTCAGTGGTCCAAGCAAGAATTATTTTCAGACATATTAATAGATTTCTTCATTCAGATAATTTGAAGTAATATTTAAAATTAGCTTTTTATTAACACTGAATTTTTTTTTTTGCATGTATCTTTTATCTTTTATGGAAATCATTTAAGTCATTGTACTGCTTTCTCAGGCTTAGGGAAATATACCTAGGAAGCATAAAAGTCAATCCCCAGCACAATTACTCTCTCTTTTAAAATACATATATTATGTATACACACAAAACTTCAGCTTTCTTTTCATGTCTTTATTTGAGTCTCCTTCTGTCACCCAGGCTGGTCTCAAACCTCTGGCCTCTAGTGATCCTTCCACCCCAGCCCCCCCAGAGTGCTGGAATTATCAACTTTCAATTGAAGAATATATATTTACAGAAAAGTACACAAAATATAAAAGTACAATTCAAAAAAAATTACAAAATAAATATACCCATATAATCAGCACCAATATAAAAAATATTCCATTACAAATGGATTTACATAAATGGTATACAACTGATAGTTTTTCGTGTCAAGCTTTTTTTTTTTTTTTGGTTCAACTTTGTTGCTGTGTGCAGTGAAAATTCATTTATTTTCATTGCTGCATAGCATTCAACTGTATGGTTAAATTGCAATTCTGGTTATATATTCTTGGACTGACAGACATTTGAGTTGTTTCCAGATACCTGCTATAACACATAGTGCTGCTGTAAACATTCTTGTAATCTATTGGTGTGCATATACATGCCTTTCTATTGGGATATACTTAGGAAGAGAATACTAACATCTCCAATATTAACTTATGATTTTATCATCTATAAAAGATTCAACTTTCTGACTCACTACCTTTTAAACAATGTAAAGAACTATGGATATCCATACATTTTTTAAAATCCTAATTATATTTTTATCATTGTAGTCATTTAATTGCTGTCTCAGCTTCCGAAATATATTTTTCCAGTGCAAATATATCTATCTTCTGACTGTTGGTTTTTTGTTTATTTGCTCATGTATACATTGGCTTATGTTTTCCTTTGCTCATTATTTAAACTTTAAAGAAACAGTTAAACATTTAAGTGGGAAGAACACTGTAGACTAACTACTTAACAATTTTAAAGTGTACAATTAATTATTGTGGACCATTAGCACAATGTTGTACAGACCTTATTCATCTTGCTTAATTGAAACTTTAAAGTATGCTTACTGATTAATAACTGCTCATTTCCTAATCCTCCAACCCCTGATAACCACAATTCCACTCTTTGATTCCATGAGTTTGGCTATTTTAGATACCTCATATAACTCCTCCAGTCAAAAAGTAATTCAGCCCTCCTCTGTACTCCCTCAGCATTTACAATGCACTTCTATGAAAGTAGACTTCAGATTCTTTCCCAATTAGATTGTGACTTTCTTAACCATAGGTTATATTTCATTCACTTATTCATACTATCATTTAACACTGGTTGTGAATTTCATGAGGCAGAAACTTTTACTCTATTAATTTCATTACTGCTGTATGCAGTAAATACACTGTTAGCAGGGAGAACAGTTTCCTGAACTTGGTACTGTTAAACATTTTAATATTTGCTTGTTTGTTTATACCACAACAGGACAACTACCATTAATTTTAGAAGCAGTATTTGGTTACCATGGCTATGCAAGAGATTGGATGTCATATACATAATGCTAAAACTTTTAAATACACTAAGCATTTAAAATTTTTTGTCTCAAAGTTTGTTAATGCTGAAGTAGAAATAAGAAAGTTGGCTGACATAGAAGGGATTTTGAGATAAATTAATGATGGTACAAAATAGCTAGCAAAAAGAGTACTGTAACGAAAGAGAAATGATATGGACTAAAACCAAAATTGTTCCCATGATTTCTATGGACTTTTGTGATTATAAGTATATAGGAATCACAGGATTCACATATTTCCTGAAAAAGATTTCAGGAAATTAAAGAGACCCTTGGTTTGGGCCTTACATTTTATGCCTAAATAGGAATTGACCTTTTTTATTTTTAAGAAGGAATACAATTAGCACTTAAATTATTCATTGATGCAACATATATTTGAATACATACCATATGCCTAGCCGTGGAACTATGGAGATGAAAGCCATGGTGTTTGTACCAAAGGAGCAAGTAATCTAGTGATGAACCTGGCTTATACACAATGACAATCATGGAGGCATGTACACTAAAAATGTGTCTTACAATCAAGGACTATGTATGTGCATATTTAAATTCCTATTGCCTAGAATAGTACCTGTTCCAGGGTAGAAATTTTAAAAACTAGTTGCTGAATTATATTAAAGTATAAATAGAATGAAATCATTAAATTTCTGAAATAAAGCATAGGTGAACATCTTACATTATCTCTGAGTGGGAAAGGTGTTCTAAAGAAACACAAAAACAAGAAAAACCATAAGGAAAGTTTTATGACCAGTAATATATATTAAAATGTCCATTGACTATGAATGAGATCAATTGTAAATTACAAACTGAAAAAAATATTTGCAATTTCTGTGGCAGACAAAGGATTACTGTACTTATACAAAAGTACCTGTGAATTATAAAAATAAATTAAATACTTCAAACATCAAGGAGAGCCAATGGTCAGTAAATATTAAAAACGTAACCAGTCTCACTTGTGATTAAGTAACTGCAAATAGTGCTGTGAAGTGCTGTGGGGTGCTCCACACACACCCACTCTTCTATTTATGATGTAATATAAGGCAGGTGTTGGTGCACAATTTCTCTCCATGGAAACAATGGAAAATTCTCACAATGCATTTGTTTTAATCATGCACCTATCATTCATTTTCGATTCCAAGTAAGGAGAGGTAGGATTTGGCAGCCTCATGATAGATAGATGTATATACAACAACTTGCACAAACTGGGGTTGCTGTTAAACCATTAATAAGATTTCTAGATTCTTTGTTCTCTTTGAATCTAGGGTGCTCTCTTCAGACCACAGCAGCCAAGCAGAAATGAGAGAAATCCATAAATCCCTCTGCTTTGCACACATACCTAAAAATTCTGATGTTATTTGCCTGGATAATGCAGCCCTTGCCCAGTTTTTTGTATTTTTTGTTTTCTGCTTTTTGTTTTTGAGATGGAGTCTTGCTTTGTCCCCCAGGCTGGAGTGCAGTGGTGTGATCTGGGCTCACTGCATGCAGTTCCACCTCTCAAGTTCACGCCATTCTCCTGCTTCAGCCTCCCGAGTAGCTAGGACTACAGGCGCCCGCCACCACGTCCGGCTAATTTTTTTTGATATTTTTTGGTAGAGACGGGGTTTCACCATGTTAGCCAGAATGGTCTCGATCTCCTGACCTTGTGATCTGCCCACCTGGCCTCCCAAAGTGCTGGGATTATAGGCGTGAGCCACTGCACCAGGCCACCCTTGCCCAGTTTTGAATGGCACATATTTGTGTTTGTTAGAGGTGTTTTTTAATTGAGAAAAATGTCTAATTTACAACCACGAATTCCAAGTTTTGTGATATATTTTAGACCAGTCTTTAGGTCTCTTCTAACAAAGTTATTCTTACAGAACATATCTTCCTTGTTAATGATAGGAAAAACTTCATGACACTTTAACTTTCCAAATGAAATGGAAAATATGAAGTCCTGGAAGGGACATTTTCAAAATTAAGGGAAATTCCACTTTATATGAAGGCTTTTAATGAATGAATGTGGAAGTGGAAACTATAACTTGACAATTTAGATGAAATAAATGTTCATTAGTCCTCAAGTTTTTGATCCTTGTTCCAGTTTGTATACATGACTCAATGTCTTCCAGCCACAAAATATTTGTTTAGTCTCCTCTGAATTAAGTACTTTTGAGCCTGTTTTTAACATGGCACTGAAAGACAGTGAGAAATTAATGTATTTGATGTTTCAAAAATTATGAGAAATGAGAAATGAGCTGATGTTTAATAGAGACCTTTGTGGAACAAGAACCAATGGCCACTAATATGCACTCCATCAGTGTATTAATGCTAACAAAGACCCAATGATCTAAAACCACATTTGGTATGTAAGATATTTCATCTGTCATATGTTATATGGAGACAAAACAACACATTAATAGGAAGAAAGCTGTTTCTTTATGGGACTATTTACTCACCCCAAATTCCCATGAATATTGCAAAGAACACTGTTGACTCATTATCAAACAAATGGGAGAACTGTAAAAATAACAATAACAATAACACAAAGATAATTTAGTACTGAATGCATTGAAAAGGAGGAAAATTCAAAGCCTTTTCAACATATTACAATGTATACATACCTTTGAAGCCAAACATGTACTATTTAGTCTCCAATAATCACACACTTGATCGCAGAGTGGGCACATGATCATCTGACCACCAATCTCAGGGTCACAGATTTCAGTGCTGCAAGAGGAACAGCCAAGTTACTGAAAAGTGATAGGCGTTTAGGTAAAAGTCCAAGCTGTTCTTATTAGAACAACTACTTATATAACTTCTCACATATAACAGAGGGGGCAATCAAGCAGCAATTTCTATAGTGGGTCAAGTCATGCTTTGAGGAGTAGACTTTTCAGAGCCCATCATTAAAAACAGATTTTCCATAAAGCACCAGGTGAGAGGCTACTGTTATGTTTGAGTAGTTTTTGGAAAACATCAATTATCTGCTGCTATAAGGAAACATTCTGAAGGAAACGCCAGGGAAATAATAACAACAGCTTCGTTTGGCACAAGATAAAGACGTTTTCTCTATCTGGGCAACTCAGGTGCACTTACCTGCTTGTGTTATCTTCCATTGATAATAAACCATAAATAAAACAAGCTAAGCCAACTACAGCTGCAAAGGATAGCATTTCTGTGTAAAATCCAAGAAAGACAAAATAGATACCAATTTTTTCTCCATAATAATTCCTGTTGAAAAGAGTAAAAACAGAATCAGAATATGGATGAATGTTATAGTACAGAGAGCCTTGATTTTTTATTCAGACAGGCATATATTCTAATTTTGGCTCCATTGCTTTCTAGACATATAATTTTAGTGAAGTTACTCAACTCTTTAAACTTCAGTTTCCATATCATTATCATGTTTTAACACAGATAGTACTTATTCCATAGTGAAAGGGCTGATACAAGGATTAAAAGGGATAACGGATATAAGTAGAAAGTCAATTAAATGGAATTTAAATTTACAATTTAAATATGATAATTTGGAAAGCCTCTGTATTATAAAGATAATTTAAATGGTCTTTAAATAAACTACAGAATATTCTACAATGTAATTTCTAGGAATGAACTTAACAAATCAAAACCATATCCAAAATCTGCATGGACTTTTGCTTTATCCCTCTTTCTAAAACTGAAAACATTTCTCTGACCACATTGTAGGTATACATTTCCATCTTTCTCCAAGTCTGAATCTTGGAAGTTTACAGGATTATAACATAGGTAGCAGGCCAAGGAATTAAACATGACTACTTTAGCAAAAATTCTATGAAATATGCAGCTCAGCTCTTGGTTTTCAAAGAACTGAAAAGTGACAGCATTTATTGGCACAACCTTTTAATTCTCGCAACCGAGTATTTTGTTTTTAACCGAGTACCCCATTTAGCAATGAGAGAAAGTAGTTTTCTCCTCCTCAGAAAGTCAGGTTTTCTTGTTATTGTTGTTGTTTAACCTGATTAACCCTCCTCCTTGTTCATATAGATCCCAGTTCACCAAACCTGTGAGTCTTTCCACAGTTTCCTAGGCAAAAAGATGTGATACCTTTTGTGTTCTAGCAACGTGCTATATGATTCTATGAAAGTACTTAATATTAAATTGTAATTTATATATATGTTCAACAAGAACACATATCTGAACATAACAGTTATAAATGTTTTTTCACAATGATATTTTAAAATATATTTATCATATACAATATTAATTTTATTGAACCTCCCACTCTTCATATTTCAACACTCTTAAAATTAGTAGATATCTTTCTGCTTATCCTGTCTTTTTTCATGCTTTTCAGTGATGATAAACATTTTTGCATTGTTAATTTCCCTAATTTGGTTTTCCAGATCACTGTAAACTTGAAATTAAATTACAATGCTATAATATTCCCCTGTTAATCTGCCATTCACAACTTCCTTAGCTTACTCATACTTAGAGTGAATGAACTTTGCTTCTCCCAGTTTTTTGCTGAAAAATGTAGAAAATACTGTGATAGTACATAACATCAAAATCAGAAAAAAGTACAAACATATATTTTATGAAATTTACTGTTTACCATGTCTATTTTAATGTTTTAAAAATTACAGAATCAATGTTATTAGAAATATAATATCATCATTATTGCTATAGACTTAAACATTCTTTAATAATTCATAAGGAAACTGGATATTTCAACAACCTTAAAGTACTACTTTTTTCTCCTTTTTGATTGTCACAATTCTTATTCCTTCAGCATAAAAAATAAAATCCCTCAAGAACTCTAGACCTGTCAAAAAGAGAAATTGCTGAGAATTTACTAAATGAAATCAGGCAAGTATTTATTACATGTGGAAATATACAAATTATTTTACTAAATTTTGGACTTGGGTGTCTAACAGTAACAGATTAACACTAAATAATCTTTCAGGATCTCAGAAAGCAAGAGATATTTATTAGACTTGCAATATGGTAAAAATGTATACATTATTGAAATCACATTTAATATTTAATTTAAACTATCTTGTTGGTCATAACTAAGAAAATAAGAGAAATCTAATAATATGAGACACTATCAAAGCTCAAATATAGGGAGAGACTTCTTTTGAGTATTATTTTTTAGAAAAATATGCCATATATTTAAATCTATGATCTTTTTTAACCTGTCCATTTTACTTACTAGACTTTCAACTGATTGTGGCACTGCACCATCTAATATAGCATCTGATAGGTAGAAGAGATTCAGTAATATTGGTTGCGAGATACTGTGTGAGGGGACTGCCCTCATTTTGTATTTCCAAGATGTACTGCTTAGTCGAAAACATAGTAAATAATCAAAAGAATGATGATAGAATTAAATTGAATACAATCTTGAGAAATCAATCAATAAATGCAAACTTTATTTCTAAAGTGATTTATTTTTACAATGAATCCATAAACATCTGAGAAACTTAGCCTCAGTATTATCCTCACATTGTAATAACATTATCCGTACCACACTGTATTTAGTCTATGCTATTTAGTATGTGGCAGTATTTCAATTTTATTTCTAAGCGTTAACATACAACATATGGATATCAAAAAACGTTACATGAAGTGTAAGCTGGAAGGAAAAAAATGAGCTGATAGAGCTGATGTGCCAGTGATCAGTCTTCAATTTTATACGCTCTATCAGCCCATTTTTTTCAATCTTGGCATTGCCATCTTCCCCAAAATTATTATCTAATGTGACAAAATTATCTGTGCTCAAAAGGCAGAAAAGTCAGTTCCAGATATCTGGACACGAAAGTGATGTTTGGTGTAGACGTAACATGAAATATGTGAAATCTAGGAACTCAGATTCCTATAAACTGTATCTCTTTCTAGACACCCTATCATGCTGTCTTCCTTATTTTTATCCTCCGTATCCAACAATCCATTAGGTCCAATGAATTCTGTCATAAAAATATTTTTCTAATTCATAGTCTCTTCTCCTTCCCATTGCCAATGCCTTGATAAGACTTCTAATATTTATTGCTGAACAATTTTAACAACCTCCTTACTTCCCTGAGTTCAATCGTATATCCATCTAAATTATCTTTTGTTTCCAATAAAATGATGTTTCTAAAGTAAAAACTGAGCAATATCTTTTTCTTCCTTCAAAGCTTCATCTTTTTACTTCAGCATTATTCTTCAGGATTTTGTTCCTGGTAAACATTCAAATCTCCTTTGCCGACACTCCTACATGAAGAACTAAACACACAGTGCTCTTGTGTGTTCTCTTTGCCTGAGATATTCTTACCTAACTTCTTTACCTACTATCCTGCTACTTATCTTTCAAGACATAGTTCAAGAATGAACACTGTGAAGCTTTCCTAGAGGTTGTCATGAAGATAGGTGCTTTTCCCTCTGTATTTTGTTTGGAGTATTACTGTGCTGTAACTAATATGCATTTGTGTGTGTTCCTGCAAACAAATTCATGTTAGGAAACCACAATCTGATTATCTTTGTAGGCACAGTATCTTACTTGATATGTAGTGATGCTTAATAAAGTGTCATTAAAATAAATGTGTAAATTGTAATTATGCATCTATGAATAAATTCTTTCTTTTCTTTTTTTCTTCTTGAAACAGGGTCTCACTCTGTTGTACTAGGCTGGAGTGTAGTGGCATGATCTCTGCTCATTGCAACTTCTGCTTCTCAGGTTCAAGCAATTCTACTGCCTCAGCCTCCCAAGTAGCTAACAGGTATGTGTGCCACCACACTGGGGTAATTTTTGTATTATTATTATTATTATTATTTTTAAAAATAGAGACGGGGTTTCACCATGTTGACCAGGATCGTCTCAAACTCCTGACCTAAACTGATGTGCCTGCCTTGGCCTTCCAAAGTGCTGAGATTACAGGCAAATTCTTTCTATGTTAAGAATATTTTAACTTTTATCAGGTCTACCCATAAAACCTTTACTAAAACCCATGAAATCAACAAGGAGAGGAAAAAAAATCCAAACTCAATACAGGCCTTCAGTATCATGACACAGAACATCATGATCCTCAAATTACCTGTAAGTAAGGAAATAAACACAACTTCAACACCCGCTGCTACAAACCTAAGACACAGGAGAGAGGTGGGGATGTTTAAGAAATTATAGGGGAAAAATGTAAAGTAGGGTGGGAAACATAAAGAAATACAGCTAAAATAACGCCTAGAGAAAAGTTTAACTAAATCCCCTAATGCAGAATATATGTTGGGATTTGGTCATTTGTAATCTATAAGAAACAATCTGAAAAGAGCAGGACTGGAAGTGGCAGCCTGAGAAAAGCAATATTTCTTGAGAAGAATCAGATACAAAGAGAAGACTGGTACTCCTTGGAGGAGTGGCAGTAAACAGAAAAAAAGGAAATAAGAGAGGAGAGTTGGAATGGGTGCAGCACACCAACATGGCACAAGTATACATATGTATCAAACCTGCACGTTATGCACATGTACCCTAGAACTTAAAGTATAATAATAATAATAATAATAATAAAAAGAAAAAAGAAAACCTGCAAAAAAAAAAAAAAAGTAGTTTGTCCAAGGTCATAACTAGAGGGTAAGGAATTAGGAAAAGAAGGGGAAGGGACAGAAATGAGGAAGGGAACAGAGGGAGAAAATTACTTTTCAGGAAACAATCTTGTTCAATATTTATCACAATATTCCTTTCTGTAAATGGAATTTCTTGTAAAACAAATACTACTTTTCCACTAACTTCTTTTATTGTAAAATTAAAAACGATTCTTTAAAAAAATAACCCATGGCCAGGCGCGGTGACTCACACCTGTAATCCCAGCACTTTGTGAGGCCGAGGTGGGTGAATCACGAGGTCAGGGGTTCAAAATCAGCTTGACCAATACGGTGAAACCCTGTCCTTACTAAAAATACAAAAATTAGCCGGCTCTGGTTGTGTGCAAAAAAACAAAAACAAAAACAAAAACAAACAAACAAAACCTACAACAGCATAATTGAAAACCCTGAGGCAAGGGCTAAATTAAAAGGCCAAGAGCTAGATTAAGAGGCTCACCAGGCTTTGAGGACATTATATAGAACCTTCTTACTTCTGGATCTCCTGGTTACTGTCAACATCTTGCCCGGATTACTGACCATCTACAATGTAACTTTTCTGATACTCCAACTCAGCTAAGTTTTGGAACATACAGCCATGGAGAGACTGTAAAATGCATTTTTGATGGCAGGTGCTTTAA